TATATTAATTTTAATCTTAATTTTAAGGACATAAATGACATTGTAAATATAATTTGAAGAATAATAGGAATCAATTGAGTAAGATTTTTAAATTCATTTCTCATCTTCTAGGGGAATCTAATGGTTTGAATTAGTTGGTAGATCTAAACCATTGAATTTTCTATAATTGGTGGCTAAGATGGGGAGTAAGTGGATTCCCACCATTTGAAGAATATGATTATCATTTTATTTTACTTTTTTATTTATTTTATGGGGATAAATTCACTTACTTCAAATCTTAATTGTCCAATCTTGGAAAATCCAATGGTTTGAATTGGTAACTACATCCAAACCATTGAATTTTCTAAGATTGAATGGTTAAAATTTAGAATAAGTAATTTTCAATAAGTGATCCCTCCTCTTATTTTATATCGTAGTTCCTTCTCCAAGTCTGACTATATATATTATGGAAACATCTTTAATATGGTCATATAGTTGTCTATGCATGGGAACATCCTTCATATGGTGATATTAGTTCTCTTCCCTGAAATTTTATATGACATACAATTATTATTATTATTATTTTTAATCGGTAAATGTTAATTGTTAGTATTTGTTATGGACGAGACTTGAACCATCAATCTCATTCACTTCACTCATTCTCTTTAATCATCAATCCATCTTATAACTCATTTTTTAAAGTTGTTATGGGTGAGACTCGAACCCACAATCTCCTTCATCCTATTCTTCACCTTATATATGTTCACTTTATATAATCATTAGTTGTGATAAATTACCATTGTATTTAAATATACCAATGAAAAATAATATACAACAATAACTTCTGTTTAGATTGTATATAAAATAAGTAATGAGTAAAAAATAATGTGGTTTTTTACTTATAAATTAATTTTTGATATAAAAAGTAATAAGACACATGTTACCCTTATATGTGTTTGGGGATTTATAGAATAATTTTATAGGAAAGTTTACCATTTTTTCCTGAAAAAAGTCTAAAAATATATTATTTTTAGATGGAAGAAAATGATGACAAATTACAATGAGCTTTAAAAATATTTCCAAACAACTTTTATTAAAGAAAAACCGATTGGTGTAGCTTTTGTTAAAGAAAAAGCTTCTAATCATCTAATAAAACTCTAACAAATTAAGGGGTAATATATATTATAGAATAAATTACATTCACACTCCCCTGAGTTTTAATGAAATTACACAAATTACTCATCTCTTCTTTGTCATTACACCAACCACCTCTCCCTCCTACACAAATCACCCATAGATTTATACATACATTACACAGACTACCCCGCCATGTTATAAAAGTGTAATATTTTAAAGGAAAAACGTGTGATGAATGTAATTAAGTTAAGCAAAATATTGTATATTGTGTAAGACTTCAAATAGTACAAAAGCGAATGTTTCTTTATTATTTCAGTGTCATTAAAAAATACATTAATAATTTCAAATAAATGTTTAAATAACTCTTATATTATTTTATAACGAGCCAAATAATGAAGACACATTGACTCTTATATTATTTGAATTTTTCTACATAATATACAATATTTTGTTTAATTAATTACACACATCATACGTTTTTTGTTTAAAATATTATACTTTTATGTTATGCAGGGGTAGTCAGTGTAACATATATACAAAATTAAAGGTGGTTCGTGTAAGGACAAAAAAGTGAGGGGTGATTTGTGTAATTTCACTAAAACTCAGGGGTGTGAGTGTAGTTTATTCTATATTATAAAATGTACCATATGCAAAACTAAATTATAAATGTCAACTTATAGTTACTTCAAACTTGCAAGAAGTTATTGTTGACATAAGTAGATTTTTTTAGTTTAAATAAACATGTTATTTCACTTTTAAGTTCCTGACATACTTAAACGCACAACTTAAATGAAATTTGATAGCTATGAAGCTAGCTATAGTTAAATTAAAATTTAGCAAAAATAGTTGTATAATAAACTGAACTTTATAATATAAAGGATATGTAATATTTTATTTAGTTTATGTAAAAAATGCCATTTCCTGGTAAATTAGAGAGAAGTTATACAGAACTTAAAAATGTTACATTCTCTCTTTTAAATAAATAATTTTTTACTTATGTTTTGTTGACACAAGAGTACTATAAGATTTGATTGACTAAATAAGTTATAATCTATTAAATAATGTTAACATGATAAAAGATAAAAATGAAAAGTATATATCTGAAAAAGAAATATATATATATATATACCTTTCAATATTTATTATATATATTTTCACATATCAAAATATTTTATTATTTTTCTTAAATATGTTTTCCCAAAAAAAATCAATTAGTTTCTAGTTTAAAATCTATAATACGTTGATATTTTCGATTTAGTAGTAGACCCTAACTAATTAAAGAAAAAGGAAACACTTAATAACTTTTATTCTTCTTGGTAATCAATACTCATTCTATAGCTACTTTGCTTTTTGGTTATTGGTTGTGATTGAGAGGAATCAAACATCAACCGTCCATTCACACCCATCATCTATGTCATATATCAATATCTTTGCCTAAACTTTTGTCCTAACAATGTTATTCCCTTATAATAACTTATGACTTATGTTGCTTAATATTTTTATAATTTTACTATCTAATGATAATTATATGTTTATTTTTTTGTAAATATACTCCAATCTTATTATATACAATAAGTGTGTAATGGGATCAACATTTGTGTGTTGCTTTTTAGATGATGGAATTGGTATATCCAAGTAGATATTAGGTTAGCCATAGCCACTAGGAAAGTGGGTTAATGATAGCTACACGACACCGTTTTGGCAAATTGGAATCCATGTTACATGTCAGAGGGGTCTTGTCAATCTAATCAAATTAATATAGTAATATTTTAAACAAGGTAAGGAAATTTTTATTGGAAAAGAAAAGAACCCCATATTATATAAATGTACCCTCGTTTTAAACTATACAATTATACCATTTTTGAGATAGAAGATATGATTCGTGTGTTTTGCACTAACTTATGTTGGGAATGTTTTTTTTATCATTTGTAATTTTTCTTGTGACATGAAAAAAAACATTATGCTCAAAAGATTCATTCTTTCAATTTTGATACGATTTGGATGAAAACGGATCTGGAGGGTCCAGTACAGGTTGGGATTGTGACATATGTCCTTTCACATTTTTTAATGGTATAGATTTAAAGTTATTTTTAATTAAAAATAAGTTTTAATCTTTAAAGCAATCTGGGCCTCATATTTCAGTACTGGACCCTCCAGTACTGGAGAAGATCCCAGCCCGATTTGGATATATAGAGAAAAAGAGTTTGGCTCCTCACCTGTAATGTAATGGAGAGGCCAGTGAGCCCTCAGATTGCGACACGTGTAATAAAAAAAATGGACGGCTGAGATTTAAAATTGTATTACGTGTAATCGATTACCATATGGTGTAATCGATTACACCAGTTAAACAGTGTAATCGAATCGATTACATATTTAAAAAAAATAGAAAGACATGGTTTTGATAAGTGTAATCGATTACCACATGGTGTAATCGATTACACCAGTTAAAAATTTAAAATACAAACTCAACGGCTTTGTGTAATCGATTACAATGTGAAAAATGCACATATCTGATGCTTTTAATATGTTGTAATCGTTACGAGTATAGTGTAATCGATTACCAGGGTTGTGTAATCGATTACACTGTTTAACTGGTGTAATCGATTACACCATATGGTAATCGATTACACGTAATACAATTTTAAATCCCAGTCATCCATTTTTTTTTTATTACACATGTTGCAATCTGAGCGCTCACTGACCTCTCCATTACAGGAGAGGAGCTAGAGAAAAATGGTTGCAATGCATATATGTTAATATATGCAAGTGAGTTGTACATGAGTAAACAAGTGAAATACATAATTTAACAAGTTGAATTTGTTCATTCAATTATGTTTGGTTTAAGCCTTAAATTTAAAAAAAATTCATTCATCCAACCTAATTAGAGTGGTTTACTAGTCATTGTTTAACAATTTATTATAAAATAAAAGTAATAGAAATTTAATTTAATTTTTTGAATTCTCATCTTTTAAAAAATATAAAATTACAAATCTAATCTAACCAACTTGAACTTTATGGGTTGACATAAAAAATGGCAAATGCCAAATCCCAATTAAACCAAAATAGTTTTTCCTTTCAAATTGAAATTGGACATAGGATCCATTCAATTAAACCACTAAGTTAAATTTTTAGATTTTAAAAAAAATAATAATAATAGAATCGAATAATTTATCACATTATATAAGAAGATAATTTATCTCCTTAAATACATTCATAATTTAACATATGTTTTATTTTTCTTTTATCTAAAAATTTTCATTTTAAAATATATTATAAAAAATAAGACATGTCAAGTAATGAGTGAATATTTATCTCCTAGTCCTAATGAATACTTTATTGTTATAACAAAATTGAGAAAATGTACAAGTTGCATAATCCTAGTCCAAATAAACAAAAGGCCAAGGTTGAGACTTAGGGAAGAAAGTAACATGATATGCACACAACATTGAATAACATTGGCTTTATGAGAATTGGGATCATAGGATGTAAAAAACAATCATTTTCTTTATGTTTGTGAATCATTTTGCTTATGGATCTAAATATTAACAATCTTCAAGCATTGAATTAATAGAACTACACAAGTTCAATTACAGAGTACAAACCTAAGAACACTGCCATCAAAGGATCGGATTCCAAAGAATGAAAACTAATTAATCTAACAACTAAAACTAACTAATTAAGGGAAATGTGTTTAATTGGTGGCTCAATACTCCTAAGCTTACTCAATAAGGTAACTCTGTTTGTGAGTTGAGTTTTGGAGGGGAAAAAAGAGAAAATAAAGACTTTTGAGTCAACTCACCAGTATATTTTATGGCTCGCAAGCCTTCTTTTCCTCTTCAAAATTTAACTCACAAGATTTGCATTGCATCATGGTGTTCATCAAATGAGTCAGATTGAAGCAATTATGATGAAACTACCCTTCTATTTACATTATTGGACTAAATAGTGACAAACCCAACATATTTTGTCTTGTTAGCCAAATCAGTGAGCAGAGATTTCAACTCAAAGCTTTCCTCTTCACATACTTCTAACTCTTCCTACAGAACCTACTGACCCATCACAGTTCTTTAATGGCAAAGGGATATCCAAAGTAAAAGTTAGTTTTGCAAACAAAAATATCTTTCATACACACAATTTAGTTTATTTCATGTGATTTGTTGTGTTTCATATATTACCATCTATATACATCTCTACTTTAATTAAGTTCATTGCTTGTTTGAGATTAGTTTATGAGTAATATAAACAATATATTTTTTATTTGAATCATTTATTCATGCCTATCACTAAATTCCAGTTTTGATTAACTAGGTTCATTTCTATTGCTGCTGGAATATCAGATGTAATTATAGTCTACAAGCCATAAAAACTAGGCTACATGAATATTTCATACAACAATCTCAGAGTCACAGGTACAATTCCAAATTTCCCTTTATGATTTTTATTAAGGCCCTCATGTAGTTCTTGCTAAGAATAATTTGCAAGTTCAACCTCACCATTTTTACGCGGTGCAACATTTCTGCATTTTTCGAAAAAAAATTCTTTCAGAAGCTCATTTGTTTTTATGAGCTAACAATAGGGCTTATTCATTAGGCATCTGCCAGATTGTTGGAGTAATTTCAAATCATTAGTAATTTATTCTTTCTTGATTTGAGTGGCAATGCTTTATCAGTAGACATTGAATTTCATGTTTTAATAGCTTAAGTGAGCATTTTCCTTTCTCATTGAAGAATTGCACAAGGCTAATTATGCTAGATCTGGGGAAGAATGGATTATCTGGATTAATACCTTCTTAGACAAGCAACACATCGCAACAATTGGTATTGTTAAGCTTACCAATGAATCAATTTTCTGGAAGTCTTCTGCAGAATATTTTGTTAGAACTTAACAAATATTCAGCTTCAGGACAAATTTTCAAATGCTTGAACAATTTTATCATAATATCCCACCCTGGATTTTTGGCCATACTGGCATGTGCCATTTGAATTTACTTTCTACCTAGTAAATTGGTCTAGGTAAATTCATTGGGAAGTTATGTTGCTTTGCAGAGCATACTAAAACATGAAATACTACTACAACAGAAGCATTTAGGAATAACATTTGGATTAAATGATGGCAAAATATCCCAAACATTCACCAATTATGTTGGTAGGACATCTAGAACAGGAAAAATATAAAACACATCTATGACAAAACTTAAGAGCATTCACCAAATAAGATGGAGAAGGCATATTACGTTATGTGACCATCATGGCAGCTTCAATCATCGTCACCATATGCTCGAAAACTATAGAGTTCTTGATATGGACCATTGAACGATAGGTCAGCTTCAAACCACTTTGGGTACCTGACCAAGTCTCCTGCCAAAAACCAGCAGGAGACTTAGTCAGGTACCCAAAGGCAACTTGGCTTTCCACTTTTCCACATTGACCATCTCGAAACTCCAAGCTGAGCTAGTCTTTCAGGACAAACTTTCCTTTCTACCTTCACATTGTACAATTCCTCTAAGGATTTCTGTATCTTCATTGCTTTTATGCAACTCCGTCTTATAGATGCATTGCCTCACTTTCTAATTTCCTTCCTACTGATGCTGATAGGAGAATACACGAAGGTTGATGTTGTGAACAAGCATGCCATGTCTTTTAACAGTGTAGATTCAATGTGCTTCCCTTGCTAAATAGCTCAAACCTGCAAGATTTTAAAAATTTCGAAGACGTTCAATGAACCAATACATTGGCTTTTCTACTCAAACGGACAATCCCTGCTAACTTTTAACTGCCAAGGAAGATATATAAAAGCAAATAATCTTTTGAATTTATAGTCCGAGCGTTCTTATGCTCCTTAGCGCTCAATCTCTATCCTTGTTTGTCTCAGGGTTTAATCGTGTGCAAATGAGATGACAATTGATTACAAACCAATTAGTATCCCGAAAACAACCAATACACGTTAATAACCAATAATTTGTACATCAGCAGTTGTAGATAAATCGTGTGAGAAATTTAAATTTAAAACTCATAATGCTATTCATGAACAATTACACACACCTCACTTTATATCTACACAATTTTCACCATGTAAGTACAACTAGTCTCATCATATTTGCTGCACATCTACACTCTATCACCGCACTGTGATGTAATGTTGCATCTTATAGTTGTGCAGCAAGCACAACAAAAGGAGAAAAAAATCAATTTTTTCTTTGATATTTGAGAAATGAGTTCTCTTATCCAATACACAGAGAACCATATTGATAACTTAGATAAAAAATGTCCAGGCTTCAAAACCCAAACTCCAAAGCACACAAATGAATTGCAAATCTAATACTAATCATGTTATTAGAACCCAAAGTCCTGTAACTCTATTGTGTTGGATTTTGCAGAAGTTTTGAGTTACTACTAAGTTTATCTATAATCTGAACTGTTCACATTCTATCACATTAGGCTCTGATGTTCTATCACAACACTGAAATTTTTAAGGTTAGAGGAAAACAAATAAGAACACTTTCTGAGTTGGAAAAGTAAAAGTGAGGACATGATAACAGTTTGAGACATTACCTGTTCATAAAAAGTGTCGGATTTGAAGACTCTGTTAAAGATTAGTTTCCTTCTCATAAACCCTCTCTGGCTATTGAGGTTTATCCCAAAAAAGTTTCAACCTTTTTTATATATCTATCTATTTCTTTTACCCTTTTTTAACTTATTTATTACATAAACTATTTTTTTGGTATCAGTGTGAAAACAAATATATCTAGAAAAAACATTGCCCACATATGTATATATTAATATCTAGAGAGAAAAAAACGAATACAGTTTATGTGGTTAAACGTGTTCAGTTGTGGTGCGCAAATTTCTTGTCTTTTTTTAATGATAAACGAAAGAGATAGCAAAAGCAAGAGTTGCTTTACTTTTGATAGCTGAATTGTTTATTATCATAATTATTTTTTGAGTTTCTATTGATATGTTATCACTTCAGCTTCAACAACCCATTAGTGGTATTGGTATAATATCTCAGAATAATAAATGCAGCAGAAAGTCCTTCATTTGGAGAACACATGCTGTTCCATCCAGAACCCAGGTACCAATTTCTCATTATATCTTATGCCATGCATGTTCTTTTCTGTATAACAAGTCCACTCCTAATTAAGATTGTCATTTTAAATTTGGTTATTTTTTTGTTTTAGAGGATAATGGAGAGTGTTTCTGTGAGTGGAGGAGAAGTTGGTGGTGCTGGTGGAACATACTCATATGAAGCCTTGAAGAGATTAGACCAGCTTTGGTCTAACATATGCTTAGATCATCAACAAGGAACATTCATTTCATTCAATCATTTTCATTTTGTTTCATCTTTTTCAAGATTTTGTGAAGGAACTATGAAAACAAAGATTTTATTCATAGGAAACAAAATGAAAATAACATGACATTTTTTGTAGTTATTAGTAAAAACACACATACGAAGTAGAATGCAAAATAGAAGAAAACATTCCAAATACCCTATTATCTATGCAAAGAGTTCTCTATATATTTGGTAGTATTCTAATGTATATATGTATATACTGCAGTTGTGCAAAAACCTCAGCAAGTTGTGTCTACCATTCCAAGCTTGTTTAGCTCGTCTGGCCTGGCTGACACAGCAGAAGGCTCATATGATGTGTTAGTTTGTGGAGGCACTCTGGGAATCTTCATTGCCACAGCATTGAGTGCCAGAGGCCTTCGAGTTGCCGTTGTGGAAAGAAATGTACTAAAAGGGGTAAATTAGTTGCACTGAGATACTAATTTTAGTAAGAAAAGGCGTCAATAAATTCCTTGACTGATCAAATTAATTCTTCTGTGTTGTTTTGATGATTACTAGAGGGAGCAGGAATGGAATATATCAAGAAAAGAGCTCTTGGAACTTGCAGAAGTTGGAATTCTGGAAGAAGATGATATCGAAAGGGTCACATCAGTAAAATTCAATCCTGTAATTCCTAAACTTCTTCTGTTTAGTTGCCAATCTCTATGTAGCAACTCTGTAACTAATGTTAGGTATTGCTACTCTGTAACTAATGTATTGAAGTCACTTTGGACATGCATCACATGCCTGAACACACCAAAAAAATGGTTATTAAGGAGGCCTTGTTTGTTATAACTGACAATTCAAAGAGCATACTGTCTACAAGAGATGAAATTTTCTCGAAACGAACATTTGTTACCAAACATTACGAAACATTAGCATGTCATCTACTTATTAACAGATTAAATTCAACTGTTGATCCCAACAATGTTTATTTTTGTATATAAACTTATAAAAGAGAAACTCAACCAAGCTTACCAGATACTGAAAAATGAACTACCCGGGTAGTCTTGCTCTAATTTGGTTATATAATAACATATAAGTTATAATGGTAAATAAGTGTTCTATAATTTTGCCTTTCACTAATATCAGTTCAAAATACTTTATTGTGTTATACTTGTCATGTGTAGTTCAGTTATGGTACATATGAAATCATGTGATTATTATGTTAGACTTAGGATTAAATAATTGAATTCTTTTCATCCTATTTAATCATTGAATACAATTCAAAATACTTGAGATTTAAGTACTTCTGCATTTTTCATGTGAAAATTGAAATTCCTGACAGCACAAATGTTGCTTACTTAGTAATAATTATAAAGCTAATATTTCAAGATAATTTGTAAACCTTGCTTGATTTGACCCTGTGGAACACTCAATTAAAGTTGTTATAATCTTGATGTCAAGTCTACCTTTTGCGGCCTCTTCAAAATTTATGATGCCTGCTCTCTCCATTTAATTTATTTTAAGCTAACTTCTTTGTTGATTTCATGGACTATGCAGAATAGATGTGGATTTGAAAGGAAAGGGGATATTTGGGTCGAGGACATTCTGAACCTCGGTGTTTCGTTAGTTTCCTTCCTATAAACTAATTCAAGACAAACAAATAATTTGATCGATGTTCTTATCTAGTTAATGCATTTCATTTACAATTGCTTCTTAGTAAGTATATTTTGCATGCCCACATCAAGAGAGGACAGAAACTTTGTTGTAGTAGTGATACGTCTGGTGTGTATATGTAGCATTATTAAGTATAATGCTAGCAAATGTAAAGAAAAGCTTGAAAAATTCATTTTGCGTGGATAACTTGAATCCCTATCTATGCTAAACTCTCATAAACATGCATTTTATTTTTACTCTATGCATGCCTATCTAGAGCTTGCCCGTGCAAGTTATTTTATCCTTGTTGTTTTTGTTATCTACCATTGCAGACCTGTAAAGCTTATAGAGATTGTAAAGGAACGTTTTATTTCCCTTGGTGGAGAAATCTTTGAGGGCTGCAGCGTCTCCGGCATTAATGTATACGAGGATGTTGCAGTGAGTGCAAGTAGTTATTCTGGTGCAATCTGAAGTCTTAGCATGTTACTAATCATGTCATTAATGAATTATCATAATCGGACCCTTAGCTCATGGTGTTTGATTCCTAGATACTACGCTTATCTCATATCTTGAAAGAGATACAATTGAGACTACAATTTAGATAGTAGATATAGCTAAATGCAATTTGGTTTTGGAGGAAACAGTGCTATTGTTTTCAATGATAAAGAAGCATGAGTAAATGTATTGTTTTTCCTTTCAGGTTCTGAAACTTTCTGGGGACAAAATCTTGACGTCTCGTCTTATAGTTGATGCCATGGGGAACTTTTCCCCTGTTGTAAAACAGGTCAGGATTATATTCCTTCAAATTGATTGTCTGATTTTCACCATGTTATTATTGTATGGAATGTGCACCTTTGTACAATTGTGAGTGTGCTCACATTACATATCAGTTGTCTTCAAGTTGTACATCAGAAAGTTTTTTCTGATGTATTTTCTGTTATGCATATGTAGGACATATTCACTTGCATCTGTGC